TCTTTCTCCTCTCACCATAAAAATATACCCTCGAGTTTTGGATTCCCCTATCCAAGGCATCTTTGGCAGGGCAGAAGTGGGCCCAGCAGCAGAAGAGAGTGAGCCCTGCTGTGCGGAGAAGAGAGCAAGCCCAGCTATTCAAGATGGCTGAATTGGCACAGTAGGCCCAAGGTAGACTCAAGGCTGACCGCATCTTGTTTTACTCTCTCTCTCCTTTTTGTCTTTTTATCCCCTTTCCTTCACTTTCCAGCAGTGACCATAACATGAAGACATGCCATGTCTTCGTAGGCCCAATGAGTGAACTCCTAGAATTGGCGGCGAAGGGGTGGCTGAGTCATAAAGGAGTAGATTGCAGGCCTGGAGTGTGGAACTTGTAAAAGTCCTGGAACTGTGTTTGGGAGCCCGGCTGATGAAGATTAACTCTATTTAAGTACTTTGTTTTCACTCGTATGCCTCGAAATGATAACATATTGTGGCGAAAGCATACTTTTCACTGTATCTCCTAAGATATATGTGACAATAAATCATTCACTCATTCAGATTCTTGCATAGGTATGGGCACAGATTCTTGTGTTGGCATAGGTATACATTCTTGTACAAGTGAGTGCACAGCTACTTGTAAAGGAATGAGTAGCTACTAGAACAGGTAGAATGTAGACACTGGTATAGGTATAAACACAGACACTGGTAGTGTTCTGGGTACACACACTGCTACAGGTGTGAGTGCAGATACTGCAGAGGTGTGGCTGCAGATACTGGCACGGATGTGGGGTAAGATTCTTCCACATATATGGGTACATCTCCTGGTACAGGAGTGAGTCCAGCTAGTATGGACACTGGTGCAATGTCTGTACCCATACCTGTACCAATATCTGTGTCAGCATCTGTACTGTCACAAACGTATCAGTTACTGGTACTAGTGTAGGTACAAATACTTCTTTGTGGTATGGCTAAACTCCCTGTAGAGTGTGGCTACAGATACTGGTACAGTTCTGAGTACAAATACTGGTACAGTTTTGAGTACAGATTTTTGTAGATGTGTGAGTGCAGATACTGGAATAGGTGTCGTGAAAATACTGGCACAGGTGTGGGTGTAAAAACTGGTACGAGTCCAAAAGCGTGGATGCAGGTACTGGTACTGGTGTGGATACAGATGCTGGTACATGTGTGGGTAAAGATTCTTGTACACGTGTGTATGTAGCTACTGGTACAAGTATAGTGCAAAAAGTGGAACAGGTGTTGTGAAGATACTGTTACAGGTGTGGATACAAGTACTGGTACAAGTTCACAAGTGTGGGTGAAGATTCTTGTACAACTGTGGGTACTGATCCATGAAAATTGGAAAGGGCTGGCCCTAGCTATTTAAGCGCTTAAGTGAATCTCTACCCAGCAGATAAGGGCCCCCAGCACCTGCATAAATTCCAGCTGTAGCGTTACTTTTTTTAATGAAACCTTTGGAATAAGGGCACCGCTTCCCAAAATTTCCAATACTGTCCCATTTTAAAACTTAAAAATTTATGTAACCACTGATACAAACAAAACAGCATATGAAATAGTATATGAAGTTCATATATTTATATAACGCATTATGTTCATCTGTAATATGAAAATGTGTTCATAAAAAATTTATTGATTTACATACTCAGTAAGTCTGAGACACATGACCATGTATGTTGACAGTGTTAACCAGAATCCCATGTTACAAGCAGAGCGAAAGTACTCCACTGATTTGGATCAAGTCAGAATGCTCTCTGTCACCACCATTTCTTTATGGTCAGGAGAAAGGCCCTCTGTTTACCTATTTCCCTGTTCTACCTTTTATTCTCAAGCATTTCTAATTTTAAAGACTGTTTAGTTGCAAAGCATGAAGTATGATGCCTTGCTGCAGACTGAGTTAAGATATCAGATCATCGATCATAGACTCCCTACAGAGTAGAAACAGGCCCTTCGGCCCAAAAAGTCCACATTGACCCTCAGAGCATCCCACCCAGATCCATCCCCTATAACCCACCTAATCTAATATGAGAGTGCAGCATCAAAACCAACAAGCTCCCCATTGCTTACCTCTCCAGGGTTCCCCATTTCTGCCACAGATGGCAGTGCTATAGCAGCAGAGCATGCAGGCTCCTGCCTAGAGCTCATTTGCTCCGCCGGCTTTATGTTTTTCCTTCTATTCTTTCACTTTTTAAAAATTAGTACTTTAATTGATTTTCCTTCTGTGGACAGCAAGTTTTTGCATGCAGAGGACGGAGGAGTTGAGCCATTGCGGGGCGAGTGAGCCCAACGTGGCGGAGAGTGAGGTCCCCCGGCATCCGTGCAGTGGCAAGAACAGACAGCCCAAGGTTGAGTTCAGCACGGACTGGAGGCGAGACCCAGCCTGACGCGGTCTGGTGGCTTCTTATTCTTTACTTTTCTAATTTACTCACCAGATCCTGTACCTAGACGCCTTTGTATCTAAGATGTCACCATAGGGGATGGCTCTAAACTTTTCACTGGACTTGTGAGTACATATGACTAGAAACCCAATTCTAATTCATTCCCACCTCTCACTGAGCTGCTATACCTCAATTTCACCCCCCTACTAACTCATGACATTACAAATTTTCAGGATACACAATTCCCAACTTTCCCAACCAGTTGCAACCCTCCAAGGGTGACATTATCAAACAGAATTTGTTGATAAGCTTACGGAAGTAGCAGGAAATTATTTGATATGAAATTAATTAGTTTTCTAACTTGTTCAGACACTGGACTCGTGTGATATTCAAACATTTTTTGTGAGGAATTGCAAACACATGTTTGTTTTACATTATGGACAGACTGTTACGAGAAATCTATAGCATTTGGCTCCCAGGTTATTGCAATCAATGCTCATATAGGAGCATCCTTATTTTGAGAAACTAAGGATTCAGATGTTAAGTTGGTCAGTCCCCAGTTCTGGCAGAACGTTAGTTCTTTATCTAACATCAACTGTGGCAGAGAAATCTGACACAGGAACAGAAATGTGCACGCATTCAATTCAAGGTGGAGCAGCATCTACAGTGCTGGGTGAAGAAATCTTCATTCCAAAAAAGCTGTTTCTTTCAATTGCTTCTGTTTCGCTTGTATCCACTTACCTCATTCTTTACCCACCAGAAATCTTTGATGATTTGAAGACCTTTGTGTTTGCTGTTTCAAGGTGCAACTGTTATCTATTATACTTTAAGTTATTTGGGATAGTTTGCTTCTTGCGTGTTCATTTTCCAGGAAGAAAGCTCCTTCTACGTTTGAATCCTATATAATCCTGAACTCTACCCTTCAACCACCAGCCTCGTCTTCACTCTAAACAATTCCTCTCACTTTCTTCAGTGAAAAGAGGTGGCCACGGGTACTGACATGGGCCACAGTTAAGCCTGTCTCTTTGTGGGGTACGTGGAACATTCCTTGTTCTAGTCCTATTCCGGCCTCCATGCACAACTCTTTCACCGGTTTATCAATTATATCATCGGTGCTGCTTCCCTCGCTCATCTGGAATTGGTAGTTTGTGAATTTCACTTCCGATTTCCACCGCTCTCACCTTCACCTGGTCCATCTTGGGCTCCTCCCTTCCTTTCCTCAACATCACTGTTTCTGTTCCTGGGGAATAGGTTGGCCACCAATATCTATGGCAAACCAACTGACTCCCACAGTTACCTTGACTATACATCTTCACACCCCACTTCCTGTAAAGACTCTATTCTACTCTCACAGCTCTTCCATCTCTGTCGCATTTGTTTTGATTATGCCAACTTCAACTAGGAGGTCTCTGAAATTCCACTTACTTCCTCAACCAAGGATTTCCCAGCACAGTAGCTGACAGAGCCCTCAGCCAGGTCCGACCTATCTCCTGTGCCTCAGCTCTCACCGCCACTCTTCTCTCCCACAATAGCGATAAGGGCTCCCTGTCCTCACCTACCATCTCAACAGCATCCACATCTAGAGGATCATTAGCCACCATTTCCGGCACCTCCAGTGGGATGCCACCATCAGACACATATTCTCCTCCCCGCTCTTGTCAGTTTTCTGCAAGGACCATTCCCTCCAGGACAACCTGGTCTACCCTTTTTTCACTCCCAGAGATCCACACCCCTCCCTGACCCACGGTGCCTTCCCCTGCAACTGCAGAATATGTAACACTTGCCCATTTACTTCCTCCCTCCCCAACAGCCCAAACACACCCAGCGCTTAATCTGCACTTCACTCAATCTAGTCTACTGCATTCTCTGCCCACGTGGTCTCCTCTACATTGGGAAAATGAAGCATAGACTGGGTGTCCACTTCACAGAACAACTCCATTCTGTCTGCAAAAAAAAGACCCTGATCTTTCAGTTGCCTGCCGCTTCAACACACCATGTTGTTCTCTGGCCATCATCTCTGTCTCAAGCTTGCTGCAGTGCTCCAGCAAAGCTCAGCACAAGCTGGATGAACAGCACCTCATTTTCCACATGGCAACTCTACAGACTTCTAGACTCAATATCCAGTTCAACAATTTTAGTGCTTGAGTATCTTCTCCCATGACCTTACCTCCAAACCCCACACACCAGGTCCTGTTATCACGTGTTATTACACACTCCCTATTTTTAGCCACCAAAAGCCCCCATTCATTCTCCCAGGCTGATCATTATTCACACCTTTGTCTGTCCAACTGTACTTCTCTCTTTGGGTTCTATCTCCACCTATCATTTACCCCTTACCCCCTCTCCCACAGGCTAGCTTCTGTATTAAGAAAAAACATTTTCCTAGCTACCATTCGTTCTGAAAGAAGGGTCACTGGATCCGAAACGTTAACTCTGACTTGAATAACTCCATGGATGTTACCAGACTTGCTGAGATTTTCCAGTAATTTCTGTTTTTGTTTATATGCCTTTAAACAGGAATAAGTTTAATTGCCAGTTTTAATGCTACTGGAAATGCTTCCAATTTAAAATATCAATATATTACTTTACATACTATTAAAAGTGCTGAATGGTCATCAGCCTTACCTATCATCTGTGCTTTGCTCATCATGAAGAAGGCGCTCCTTGTTCAACCCAATTTTTTCCAGTTCATGAGTCAATTTCTCCAAGTCATTACTCATTTGCTGAGTATTTAATTTCTCATTTACAAGCTCCTGCAAACATCACACGACAAAATTATAAACAATTAAAGTTTATTCTTTGAAATTTGCAGGAATGAACACAACTTTCCATGATGCAACACATTTCTAAAAGGTATTGTAAACAAAATAAAAAATGGAGACTCCTCATTGAGAAATTCAGATATCTGTTACTAAACAGCACCTCAAGACAAATAATAATTACTTTATTATTTGCCAAACTTAAAATGAGCAAAGTGGATTAGCATTAGCACAAAAGATGAACATATAAAGGAACAAAAAAGTAGGAAGCTCAAAAATAAGCCTGAGTATTTGACTAATTCAAAATGACAAAATTATTCTTATTTATTGCAGAGGAAATCTAACGTACAAAATAGTGAAGTGGTAAGTTTTGACATTACTAAACAGGAAATGTGAGCACTTCTGACTTGAACAATCTTTTTCTCCCAAATGTTGTTCACCTGACTTTCTGCCTGGGAAAACAGGTGGCGATCAAATGAAAACAACTGGGGAGAAAAGAAAGTGAAATCTTGGTTGCTTATAGCCAACCTGATACAATTCACGCAAACATAAAACCGTAAGATACAAGACGGTATGGTGGCTCAGTGGTTAGCACTGCTGCCACATGGCGCCAGGGATCTGGGTTCAATTCCACGCTTGGGCAACTGCCTGTGTGGAGTTGGACGTTCTCTGTGCACATGTTGGTTTTCATCCAGGTGCTCCAATCCAAAGATGTGCAGATTAGGTGGATTGCCGTGTTAACTTGCCCAGAGCATCCAGGGATGTGCAGGCTAGGTGGATTAGACATGGGAAATGCAGGGTTACAGGGAATGATGGGCGGGAGGGGGGAGATCTTCTACAGAGGGTCAGTGTGGACACAATGGGCTGAATGGCTTAATTCTGCTCCTAGAATCCCTACAGTATGAAAGCAGGCCATTTGGCCCATTGAGTCTGCTCCTCCGTTCGATTATGGCTGATACATTTCTCAACCCCACTTTCCTGCCTTATCCATGTAACTTCTATCCCTTACCAATCAAAAACCTATCTTCTGTGGCAATGAGTTCCATAGATTCACCACCTTCTGGCTGAAGAAATCCTATATGTCAGTTCTAAAGGGTTGTTCCTTCATTCTGAGGCTGTGCTCTTGGGTTTCATCTCTCCTACTAGTGCAAACATCTTCTCTAAATCCACTCTATCCTGGCCTTTCAGTATTCTGTAATTTTCAATTAGATCCCCCCTCATCCTTCCAGTTCCACACAGCACAGACTCAGAGTCCTCAACTGCTCCTGATATGATAGGTCCTTCATCACTGGGATCTTCCTGTAAATCTTATCTGGACAGCCTCCACTGCCAGCACATCGTTCCTTGGCTACACTGCCCAAAACTGCCCTTAAAATTCCAAACATGGTCTGACCAGAGCCTTACGCAGCCTCAGCAGTACATCTTTGCTCTTGTTTTTTCTTCCTCTTGAAAAGAAATGTATATCTGTTTTCCTAACTGCCAAATGAACCTGTATGTTAACCTTAAGAGCATCCTGAACTAGGACTCCAAGTTTCTTTACGCTTCAGATTTCTGAAGTCTTTCCCCATTTAGAAAATAGAAAAGCCTCTCTTCTTCCTACCAAAAAGTGCATAATCTCACACTTTCCCACATTGTATTCCATTCGCCACTTCTTTGCTTACTCTTCTAGCCAGTCCAAGTCCTTATGCAGCCTCTCCACTTCCTCAACACTGTCCCTGCACCTTTCTTTGTGTCAACTGCAAACTTAGCAACAATGTCCTCAGTTTGTTCATCCAGATCATTAATGCACAATGTGAATAGTTGTGGCCCCCAACGTGGACCCCTGCGGAACTCCACTGCCATCCCGAAAAAGATCTTTTTATCCCTACCCTCTGACTGGTCAGTCAGCCAATTCCCTCTCTATTCATGTCAGTACCTTGGTCCAATAACATGGGTCCTTATTATATTTAGCAGTATTCTGTGCGGCACCTTGTCAAAAGCTTTCTGGAAATCCAATAGATCATGTCTACTGGCCCTGCTTTGTCTAACTTGCTCATTACCTCCTCAAAGGATTCTAACAGATTTGGCACACATGACCTACCTTTGAAGAAGTTGTACTGACTTGGCCCTATTCTACCATGCACTTTCAAGTACTCTGCAAGCTTGTACTTAATAAAGGATTCTAAAGCCTTACCAATCAAGGTGAGACTAGCCAGCCTATAGTTTCGGTCTTCTGCCTCCCTCCCTTCTTAAAGAGGAGTGTTCCATCAACCACTTCCCAATTGTCTAGGACCTCCCCACCAAACCCCCACCCCACCCCACTGATTCCTGAAAAATCACTAATGCCTCTACAATGTCCTCAGCTATCTCCTTCCAAACCCTGGGATCTAGTCCACCTGGTCCAGGTGATCTATCCACCTTCAGACCTTTCAGCTTCCTTAGTGATGGCCATGACACTCATCTCTGCCTCCTGAATCTCTTGAAGTTCTGGTAAGTTGCTGGTGTCTTCCACTGTGAAAACTGATGCAAAGCACCTATTCAATTCCACCGCTATTTCTGTGTTCCCTGTTACTACTTCTCCAGCCTCATTTTCCTGTCCACCCTTGCCTCTCCCTTACCTTTTAGATATCTAAAAAATCTCTTGCAATATTCTTTTAAATGTAAAATATTGCAGATGCTGGAAATTAGAAATATAAACATAAAATGCTAGAAATACTCAGCAGTTCTGGCAGCATCTGTGGTTAGAAAGCAGAAGTTAACATTTCATAAGAACATATGATATAATCCACAGTAGGCTTCTCAACAGATACACATAGTACACCCATCAATTCTGGTGAAATGAATTTAAATATACAAATTGGCACCCACGTTACGGGGCATCTGATTAGAATTTCAAAGTGTAAAGGGCAGAACTTCACAACGTATACAGCCCATTTATGCCAGCTGGTGAATGGTCTGAGTGATTACATTTAAAGGGAATGCTACAGAACATCCCAGAGAATGGATCCAAACCCTTTTTAGAAAGAGAAAACAGAGTTAACATTTCTGGTTCAGTGACCTTTCTTCAGAACTGATTGTAGCTAGGAAAGTGTTGGTATATATGCTAAAGATTGGGGGTGGGGGGGTGGGAAGAAGAAGGAGTAAACGCTCGATGAAGATGGAGCCCAGAGAGAGAGAGGAAAACAGCTGGGCAGATAAAGGAATGGGTGAAGGTCAGCCTAAAAGAATGAACAGCTGCCAATGGGGACCATTACTGGCTGACAATGAGTTGTCTTTGGTAGCAGCCCACATGATGACAAAGTCTGGGGGTTGGGGTAAGGACATGGGAGAAGGTGCTGATATCCTAAAATTGTTGAACGTAATGTTGAATTCAGAAGATTTCAGGGTTCCCAAGCAGAAAATGAGGTACTGTTCTTCCAGCTTGCGCTGAGCTTCGTGGAGCATCACAGCCAGCCTGAGACAGAGATGTTTGCCAGACAACATGGTGGTGTGTTGAAGTGGCAGGCACAGAGAATCAGGCTCATTTCTGAAGTAGTAATGTAGGTGTTGCGCAAAGCAGTCATCCAATCTGCGCTTCGTCTCCCCTGTGTATAGTAGATCACATTGTGAGCAGTGAACAATAGACCAGACTGAATGAACTGCAGATAAAATCGCTGATTCACCTGGAAGGTATATCTGAGGCCTTGGATGGCAGGGAGGAAGGAAGTAAATAAATGGGAAGGTGTTGCAATCACAGAAGGTGTAAGGGAAGGTGCTGTGGGGTCGTGTTGGGAGTGCAGGAAGTAATAGGGGAAGTATTAGAACCTATTGTAGAGGATGTGATAACTGGACACTTTGGAAATAATGTGTTGATTGGGTGGAGTCGATATGGATTTATGAAAGGGAAATTACATTTCACAAACCTATTGGAGTTTTCCAAAAATGTTACAAGTGGAATAGATAAGGGGAAAATCAGTAGATGTGGTGTGTTTGGATTTTCAGAGGGCTTTTGATAAGGTCTCTGACAGGGAAGTTAGTAAACTAAATTGGGATGGGGTAATATATTGGCATGGATTGAAGACTGGCAAATGGAAATAAAAAAGTAGGAATAACTGCATTACTTTCAAGTTTACAGTACCCCCCATTTGTCAATAGCCTGCAAAGATCAATGCTTTTACAAGACTGAATCAGTGGGCAAGAACATGGTAGATAGAATATAATGTTGGTAAGTGTGAGGTAGTCAACTTTGATGGGAATAAACAAGATACAAAGTATAACTTAAATGGTGAGAAATTGGGTAGTGCTAGTGCCCAAAGGGACGTAGTTGTATTTGTTCACGGGTCACTGAAAACTACCATGCAAGAGTAGTAAGTCATCTGGAAGGCATATCAAATGCTGGCATTCATCACAAGAGGACTTGAATACTAGTCAAGATATCTTGCATTGTATAGAACACTGGTGAGACCACGCATGGGATACCGTGTGCTGTTTTTGGTCCTCTTGCCTAAGGGTGGATATACCTGCCACAAAGAAAATATAATAGAGGTTAACTGGACTGATTTTTGGGATGGCAGGACTGTACTACGAGGAAAGACTAAGAGGTCCGTATTCCCTGAAGTCTGAAGAATGAGAGGTCATTTCAGAAATTTACAAAATTCTTAAAGGGTTAGGCAGGATGAATGCAGAAAGGATGTTATCCTCTGGCGGGGTAGGTGGAAGTATACAAAAAAGGGAATACAGTCTCAGAGTGAGACCAACCCACGTGAACGGTAATGAGGAGTCAGAGGATAGAGTGAATCTTTGGAATTCTCTACCCCAGAGGGCTGGTGAAGCTCAGTTAGAATATTCTTAATATAGAGACTGATAGATTTCTAGACACTTATGACGTCAAGGGATATGGGATGTCACAGGGAAAAGGCATTGATCAGCCACAACCTAAAGTGGCAGAGCAGGTTCCGCGGCAGAGTGGCAATGGCCAGCTATGCTCTTATGCTCTTTTCTAAAGAGCATAAAATACCTATGTAAAAATACCTAAT